ACGTGGGCACAGGAGACCACTTCCTACGTATAACCCCAGCAGCACAGACAGTAAGGGCCTCATTGAATAAATGGGACCTCCTGAGACTGAGAAGCTTCTGTAAAGCAAAGGACACTGTCGCTAAGACAGAAAGGCAACCCACTGACTGGGAGAAGATCTTCACCAACCCCACAACTGACAAAGGTCTGATCTCCAAAATATATAAAGAACTCAAGAAACTAGACCGTAAAAGGCTAATCAACCCAATTATAAAATGGGGCACTGAGTTGAACAGAGATCTCTCAACAGAAGAAGTTCAAATGGCCAAAAGACACCTAAGGTCATGCTCAACTTCCTTAGCGATCAGGGAAATGCAAATCAAGACAACTTTAAGATACCATCTTACACCTGTCAGAATGGCGAAAATCAAAAACACCAATGATAGCCTTTGCTGGAGAGGTTGTGGAGAAAGGGGTACACTCATCCATTGCTGGTGGGAATGCAAACTTGTGCAACCACTCTGGAAAGCAGTGTGGAGGTTTCTCAGGAAATTTGGGATCAACCTACCCATGGACCCAGCAATACCACTCTTGGGAATATACCCAAGAGAGGCCTTATCACACAACAAAAGTATATGCTCTACTATGTTTATAGCAGCATTGTTTGTAATAGCCAGAACCTGGAAACAACCTAGATGCCCTTCAATTGAAGAATGGATGAAGAAAGTATGGAATATATACATATTAGAGTACTACTCAGCAGTAAAAAACAAGGACTTCTTGAAGTTTGCAGGCAAATGGATGGAAATAGAAAACACCATCCTGAGTGAGGTAAGCCAGACCCAAAAAGAGGAACATGGGATGTTCTCACTCATATTTGGTTTCTAGCCATAAATAAAGGACATTGAACCTATAATTCGGGTTCTTAGAGAAGCTAAATAAGAAGGAGAACCCAAAGAAAATCATATAGGCATCCTCCTGAATATTAAACTTCATCAGGCGATGAAAGGAGACAGAGACAGAGACCCACATTGGAGCACCGGACTGAAATCTCAAGGTCCAAATCAGGAGCAGAAGGAGAGAGAGCACAAGCAAGGAACTCAGGACCGCGAGGGGTGCACCCATACACTGAGACAATGGGGATGTTCTATCAGGAACTCACCAAGGCCAGCTGGCCTGGGTCTGAAAAAGCCTGGGTCAAAACTGGTCTCGCTGAACATAGCGGACAAGGAGGACTACTGAGACCTCAAGAACAATGGCAACGGGTTTTTGATTCTACTGGACCTATTGGTTTCGTGGGAGCCTAGGCAGTTTCGTGGATGCTCACCTTACTAGACCTGGATGGAGGTGGGTGGTCCTTGGACTTCCCACAGGGCAGAGAACCCTGATTGCTTTTTGGGCTGATGAGGGAGGGGGACTTGATTGGGGGAGGGGGAGGGAAAGGGGAGGCGGCGGTGGGGAAGAGACAGAAATCTTTAATAAATAAATAAATAATAAATGTAAATAGTAAAACTTGTAGGGAAAAAAGCTTCAAAATATACAACCATATAAAAATAAGGGGAAAGATTATGAATTCATTCAAATTGATCTAAAAACCTTCCTTGACAATGTTATTCAGAGCCCGGTAAAAAGTGCTTATGTGTCGCCATCTTCCTGTTTAAATTGTTATGTGTGTGTTTAAGAAAAGATTCTGAATTTTTTTTTTTGCTTGTTTGTTTTTGGAAACAGGGTTTCTCGGTGTAACCCTGGTTGTCCTGGAACTCACTGTGTAGACCAGGCTGACCTCGAAATCACAGAGATCCACCTGCCTCTGCCTCCTGAGTGCTGGGATTAAAGGTGTGCGCCACCACCGGCCAGCTAAGATTCTGAACTCTTAAGGTTGGGGTGGGGAGGATACAAAATGAGCCTAAAACATCTCCTGGTGTCAGAAAGTAAGGAAGCACTTGATGAAGAGATTAGTTGCATGGTGACGGGGTGAAGAAACGTGGTTCATACTCGCAATCCCGCTCCGGGGAGGCCAAGGCAGGCAGACTTCCTATTTGAGGCCAGCATGGGTCTACAGAACCCAAACTCAACTGTCAAATTTGGAACAACTCTGGCGCACGCACCAATAATGATTGGGTTAAGCTGAATTTTATCTCAAAAATAAAATAGCTGGGCATGGTGGTGCACACCTTTGGTCTCAGCACTCTCTGGGAGTTCGAGGCCAGCCTGTTCTATAAAGTGAGTTCCTAGAGAGCCAGGGTTACATAATGAAACCCTATCTCAAAAACAAAGTTAGTCAAATTAAAAGAAACAAAATAATGGCAAGTCTACAGTGATATAGACATGAAAATGGACAACCCTTCTTCACGCTAGCATTCCAATGAATAAACCTGGAAAGGAAGGGCAGGAGAGATGGCTCAGAGGTTAAGAACATTGACTGCTCTTCCAGAGGTCCTGAGTTCAAATTCCAGAAGCCATATGGTGGCTCAGAACCGTCTGTAATGAGATCTGATGCCTTCTTCTGGTATGCAGGCAAACATGCAAACAGAACACTGAATACATAATAAATACATAGATAAAAAATCTTTTTAAAAAATAACTCTTAAAAGGAATGTCACAGAAACCATTGCTACATTTGAATCCAACAGAAGTTGAAGTTAGTGGGTGAAAGTTTAAGTAGAAACATAATATTTGCGTGGAAGAAAAGACAGAGCCTGCTTAGAGTATAAAATATCACCTCTGTCAATGCGGCCTTCTGGGAAGCTCCCTCTATCTTGGCTCCTTGGATACTCAAAGTCATTTTTCCCCTAATTATGTACCCGCTACAATCTGAGTTCCTCACTCAGAGCCACAGGATTCAGTGCCTAATAACACTGAGTTTCTTTCTTCCATTAAAAAAAAAAAATCCAAGTGAGTTGAACCTATCTTCTCTCTACATAAAATAGTACATCACCACAAGCCCATACCATTTTCTGGCCCGTCTGGGACCTGTGGACAGAGGTAACCAGTAAAAGCTCTGCTTCAGAATAATATAATGGCGCATGCAGGTGGATATAAAGAAATGCAACCACGCATCCCTCGGTACTGACGCTGAGCTACCTCTTACTGGCTCCTGGAGTCTTCCTGCGTGTTCTGTCCACCCTCAATATGGAATTTTCCACTATTAAAAAAATGAAAAACAAAAAACCCCCCTCCTATTAACCTAGGACTCTACAGGACACCTGGGAACATCACAAACCTGGCAAGCATGGCAGAGTGGAAGGGAAGAAGGGCGGACTCATCAGTGGGGTAAGGAGTTTGCAGCGCAGTATTATTGAGGAACAAACATCACACCTACTAACACCTTGGCCGCGGGTTGGAAGGAATTCTGATCGTTGAAGGTAAGTGTTTTCACTAATGATGTTCCACACACACGTCCCCTACTAGGAGCAAGCCATCTGGTTCAAGTGTAAATCAAATACAGATCTTTACCAGAAGGCTGAGACCTCCACCTAACTGCAGAAACCAGAGACTATCTGGTCTACAAACCTTTTTTAGATCACATGATTTTTCATGAATTCTGAACCACATACCAGAGTTTTAAAATATGTGACTATCACAGTTTGAAACTCAGGTTAATTGAGAAAAACAAAACAAACAAACAAGCAAAACATGAAGACTTCTGGTTTGATGCAGTGAAGAAAATCTGATCTCTGGGTACAGGGGGTTTGGTTTTGCAGGAAAAAAAAAAAGGAGCACACTGCCCCATTGAGGTGGTCCTGGCTCCTTGATTCGTTCTGCATAGCTTACACAAGGCATATATAATACCCATCCTTCTGGATGCACGTGTATTGTATATCTAGTACTTGTGGCAAAGGGGATGGCAATACATGTCATTGGGGGATAAATGTTCTCAATAACTACAAAGTTTTCTCATACCTATGTAAGCCTCCTGCTCTCTAAACTTACTACAGCAACGACAGCACACTTACTCCTCTGAGTTTCATTCTTTTATGGTTTTGGTGCTGTGAGACAGAATCTCACTATGTAGCTGGACTCAAAGCAGTCCCCCTGCCTCAGCCTCCCAAAGATGACAGATGTAAGCTGCTGTTCCCAGCTTACTCTTTTTTATTAATACTTACACCCATAGATCAGAATTGTGTCAACTCACCGGTTTGTAGGTGCTGGTGTGAATCAACCACAGACTGAGCCCAGGCCTTGGAAATGCTAAAAAAAATGGACACTTTTCTACCGAATCCTAAATTCCGCCTCTACTCAAGTGTTTCAACACCTCCCATAACTATTTGCATACCTGTCTTGATTATCTATAGCACAACATTATCCAACAGTACTTGACATACCGCCAAACATAATGAGGTTACCGACTGGGCTTTTAGGTTTTTAATTTTATTTTCTTTTGAGCCATTTCTGTCTTAGTAGCCACAAAAGGTTAGAAGCTGCCCTATTAGACTGACGAGGGAGGGGGACTTGATTGGAGGAGGGGGAGGGAAATGGGAGGAGGTGGTGGGGAAGAGACAGAAATCTTTAATAAATGAATAAAAAAAATAAAAAAAAGAAAACATAGCTCTAGAGACTCTAAATAATTATAGAGTGTACGGTGGGAAAAAAAGAAGACAACTTTTACATTAACACACCTAGAACAGCCCAGAATTAAATACACAAGATCTAGCTGGGTTTTAAACATAAGCCCTCACTATTCTCAGTTCACGCTCAGAAGAAGCCATGACATAAGAACGGGTGAAACACGTCTTGTACATCAAACCCCTTAACATCCAAACAACACATCAGGGCTGGAGAGATGACCCAGCAGTCAAGAGCACAGCTGCTCCCGCAGAGGATTCCGGCTGGGTTCCCAGTTCCTCCATGGCCCCTCACAGTCTTCTGACACTCCAGCCCCAGAAGCTCCAGCACCCTGACCTGGCTCCTGCGTACTGCAGGCCTGCAGTGTGCATACACACACAGGGGGAACACTCAGAAAATAAAATATGAACACTCTTGAAAGGAAAGGGAACCGTCATCAAGCTCGTTTATTTTTACCTTTCGTTCTCCTGGAAATCACAGTCACCCAGTCAGGTCCGCTGGAGTTGATCGGCATTTTGATATTGACACCACTTTGGAAGAAAATGAAAAAAAAAAAAAAAGAAAGAAATCACGAGTTTAGATTGAGATTCAGGGACATTTGTTTGCAGTTGTGTTTCTTTATCCGTAAGTGAAAAAAAAAATACATATGCTTTCACGGCGCCTTATAGTGAAACAGAAAAATTAACCAATATGACTAATAGTTAATAAGCTAGGGCTCTTGAGAGAAGGTACTATACACTGAAGAGAAATTACTAAATCCTCAATATGTCTTCACTGTTGTTCACACACACACATACACACAAACTATACATACTACTTTGCCAGTCTGAAGAATGCAACTCCACAGTATCTAACTCCAGGTTGAATGTTCCTTTTGAAAACAGAATTCTACTTTGTTTCTACGTGATTTAGGGGTCACAAGTCTCTACTGAACTAAGTATGCTAGGTTCCTAGGGCAAGTCCAGGTCTGGGAGGAGTCCCCGAGGAGATGCCCTGCTTCCAAATAGTACTCAAACAGTCCTTTGTTCACCAGTGCGGACTCCATGGTGTCTGCGCCCCTTACACACACCCCTCAAGGATATGGGCGGGGCTTCACTCACTTAGAATCTTTAGCTCTTAGCTCAGGATGCGGACTAGCGCTATGCTCAGTAAATTCTCTTGAAAAACTGAAGGAGAACGAAAGCCAGCAGCAAGGGCTGGGAATCCAGAAGAGTCACTGCCGGGACTCTGGTACTCCTATCAAAAACGAGCTTTAAAATTGCAGACAGCTTGGCCTCCTGTGGGATATTTCCGCCGCTCCCTGTTCGAGAACAATGGGTTCATCCTAGAGATGAAGAGTGAGCTCCACTTACATCCCGGGCACTGTTCTGGCTCTGGCTTATGTGGAAATCTCCTCCCTAATGGGACTTGATATTCTATAGAACACAACAAAAAACAAGTAATGAAGGATCTATTCAGGGCTGGCTACGCTGGAGTACAACAGAATTCCTTATTTTACACAAAGACATTTGGTGACTTTCGAGAGCGCACATGTAAACCACTCTCACAAACTTAGAGTTGTTTTTATCCAAAAATACATAATAACTTTCACATAAAGCTTGAAGGACAGTTCAAAAATATTTAACCTCAATTTAGTTGTAGAAAAACAACAAAGCAAATCTAAAATAAGAAAACATTTTATAAAATATCAATATTGGGCCGGGCGGTGGTGGCGCACGCCTTTAATCCCAGCACGCGGGAGGCAGAGGCAGGCAGATCTCTGTGAGTTTGAGGACAGCCTGGTCTACAGGAGCTAGTTCCAGGACAGCTAGGACTGTTACACAGGGAAACCCTGTCTCAAACAACAACAACAACAAAAATCAATATTGAAATTGTCCATACCATAAAAAGCACAAGAGATGAAATAATTTTCCTCGATTTAAAAAAGATAACAAAGTATAGAATGTGATCACAGATCACATAACTAACAAAGGACAATACTGGGGACACCCAGACATGAACTAGACACACACACTGGTCACCAGCGCTGTATCACTGACAAATGTCCCAACTGTGATAACTGTTATGATGACACGCTGGACACCCTGCTCTTGGAGATGTTTGCTGCTGGGGTCGGTGCTCTGATGTCTGTAGCTTACTCTATTTCCAACAGGAAAACAGACACAAGCGTACGCATAAAGCACACGTTGAGGACAAGAAAACCAAATATGGATGACACTAACAACCGAGAATCTAAAAGACGTCAGGCGGGTGGTGATAACATCAAAGTTTCCTGAAAACTTAGAGCCACTGCAGGGTTACTGTTTGCTTACTTTTGACGGACTGGTTTGGTTGGTTGGGTTTATGTGTGCATATGTGAGTACAGGTACGCATGCAAACATTAACTTGTTCATGTGTGTGCATGTATGGTAGGAAGGCCAGAGAACAACCTCAAAGTTTCTCACTCTTCTGAGGCTCACCGAGTAGGCTAGGCTGGCTGGCTTGTAAGACCCAGGAGACTGCTTGTCTTAGCCACTCTCTGCTGGGAACACATATGCCCACCACCACACCTAGACCCTCAGTGTGTTCTAGAGATCTAACCCGGCTCCCCATGTCTGTACAGCAACCGCTTTACAGAGTGGGCTATCCACCCTGCCCCCTCTGCTAGGTTTTATTCCGTTTGAGCTCAAGTTACCCTTGAGCTCCCAATCCTCTTGCCCTGGCCTCCTAAGTTTGGGCTACAGGTATGAACCACCATGACCAGAAAGAAAGTATAAATCATGTTAAAAAATAAAAGAACTTCTTCGTGATATTGTCATTTTGAAATGCCTGCTCTAATAATAGAATCTTTGAGGGAGAGTCCTTCCTAAGACCAACATTTTCTCTCTCCTACGGATAAAGGACAAAGATCGTTAATCATCTACCTATGATTTGAAGGACCAAACCTCAAAGCTAGCCAAGTGCAGTCACTCTGTCCATAATTCCAACACTTGGAAAAATGAAGATCAACCACAAATTTGAAGCCAGTCCAGGCTACACAGTGAATTCCAGGCCAGCCTGGGCTACCATGAGCTCCTATCTCAAACAAACAAAATGGCAGCAAAGCTTCTTAATTTTTTCTAACCTAAACAAGGTAGACAACCTTAGACAGAGGTCAAAATAAGGACAAACTCAACAAACTCAAGGGAACTCAAATCACTGTCCAAAGGTCATTAAGACCAGTTTCCTTTTTCTTTGGAGATAGCCTGCTATTAGTAGAACGTCAGCAGTGTGAAGGGTAAGGAATTGAAAATATTAATGGGTTTTCATCAAATGTAAGCTACCTGGAACACGTGCCCTAGCAATCATCCCAGTTGTAGAGAGGCTTAGGAGGATGACGTTCTACAACCTACACCATGTCATCAGCCAGCCAATCCCAGTCCAGGCGGCTGCATGGCATCCTTTTCTCTTTCTGTAATAACATGCTGGGATGTGGTGTTAGGAACGTCTTTACATGTTTTGCTGTTCAACTCTCTATGCCTTTATCCCACTATTTTCCACATGAAACTTGGTTAAATTACAACCATGCTTCTTCCTCACTGGGAGCCACTGGACAGACTGATGACCCAATCCAACTGGATACTCTTCACACAGAGGCAAAAAAAAAATGCATAGAAATAAAATAACACGCTCATACTCATTGAAAACTAGTAAGTCTTGGGTCTGAGCTGAAACTTAAAATATGTAAATACAGTACACATACATTAAACTTTAAAAAATAAATTTAATTTTAAAATTAAAAGAAATGAAATTCTTGAAACTTGGCATGGTAGCACCCGCCTGTAATTTTCATCATTTACGAGGCTGCAGCAGGAAGATGAGCTTTCTTGCCAGTTATATAGTAAGTCTTGGTCTTAAAAATGTATAAGCATCCAGGCAGTGGTGGCGCACACCTGTAATCCCAGCACTTGGGAGACAGGCAGGCACGTCTCTATGATTTCAATGCTGTTCTGGTCTACAGAGAAAGTCTGAGGACAACCAGGGCTACACAGAGAAAGCCTGCCTTGAAAAACCAAATAAATAAACTTTTAGATTTATGTGTAGGATATTTTCCGTCTTTATTTTGTTTTGTTTATTCAGCCACACAAAACACTGGTCCTTTAGAGCACTGTCCAGTAACTGTGTGGAATCAGGCTCCCTCTGCTGGCCCTGAAAATAAACACATGACAGGACCACAGGCTGACTTGTGGAAAGTGGAAAATCGGTTTTATTTAAGAAGCTCCTACAACTACACGCTTCACAAAACATTTCTCCTGCCAATAGGAGAAGCCATAAAATAATAAAATATTCAAACAAAAAGGATGTCTAACTTTACTCAATGAAAACAGTTCTCTACCAGAGCCCTGCATGCAAGCATTTCATATGGGAGTGAAAATATTTATGGGGAGAAGCCAGTAGGGTTAGGGATGGAGGAAAGATACCACCAAAGTATGCTGTACAAAAAAAAAAAATCAATTCAGAAAAGAAACTATTTAGAAGGACTGAGGAGATGGCTCCACAGTTACGGTTAAGAGCAATCGCTGCTCTTCGAGAGGACCTGGGTTTGACTCCTAGCACCCACATAGTGGTTCCCAACTATCTGTGACCCTGGTTTCTTCTTCTGACCTCCATAGACACCAAGCATGTACATGGTGTACACACATACATCACACATACATGCAGGCAAAATACCCATACACAAAAAAATAAATCTTTTAAATTCTTTAAAATATACATTTATGGGCTGGAGAGACGGCTCAGCAGTTAAGAGCATGGCCTGCTCTTCCAAAGGTCCTGAGTTCAATTCCCAGCAACCACATGGTGGCTCACAACCATATGTAATGAGGTCTGGTGCCCTCTTCTGGCCTGCAGGCATACAGGTAGACAGACTACTGTACACATAATAAATAAATAAATAAATAAATAAATAAATAAATAAATAAATAAATATTTAAAATATATATTTATACATTTATATGTTCCTGCAAATGATTGTGCTTTTGACCAGGTAGTTTTATAATTTCATTTTTTATGGCTTTTTATAGTTTTATAATTTTTTGTCACATAGACACTTACAAAGCACAACATACCTTTAATGCATGCTTATATACAATGCTTAGAAAAGAGAAAATGGCATATCATTGCAAATATTTACCACTTGTGTATGCAGGAAACATTCAAACTCCACGCTACTCATGTTTTTAAGTATTCAGTTAGCTATTGTCAGCCATAGTTACCCTGCTGGAACAGTAGAAGTAATTTCTCCTATCCAACATAACTTTTCCCCAGGACTCTTATTTCAGTTCAGAATTTCATGCAATGTTGAAGAAAACAGAAATTTCAATTCAGACTGATTCTATAATTTTTTCATTCTGCCCATTACCATATACTGGCTGTGCTAAAAAACATTCTGTTTAATGCTGAAAATAAGTATTTTAGCACAATACCATAAATAATACTTTCAACAGCTGTTAAAATACAGTTTACTGTGGAACACCTTGATCCTATGCTTACTAAGTTAGCTCAGTAATACTGCCATATCCATTTATTATAGATGAAAATTTATAATATTTAAAAGCTGATCTGTTTCTTCAACATTTTAGCATCACTCACGACCCTCAAGTATCAGTGACTACTCAGGGGTAGAGGGCAGGGAGCACAATACCCAGTGCCACAGCATGGGGGGTGGGTCAGAGAACTACTTTTTGAGCGTTAGTTCTGCCCTCCCACTTTGACAAGGTAGGGTCTCTCTTGTTTCTGCCATACTGCCTACTCCAGGCCAGCTGGCTTGCAAGCTTCTGGACAATTCTGATATTTCTGCCTCCCATCCATCTTGACACAGGAGTGCTGGGATTACAGATGTGTGCCACAGAAGGTGTTTATGTGGGCATAGAGGACGGAACTCGGGTGTCAGACTTGCACAGCAAGCATGTACTAAGATATCTCCTGATAATCTTGGTTTGTTTTTCTTTTTTTTTTAAAAAAAAAAAAAAAACCTATTCTGTGAATAAGTAGTCTTGCCTATGTAGCAATAAACATGGTGTGTATCTCTAACACAGAGCAGAGAGCAGTGGTGGCGCAAACCTTTAATCCCAGCAGTCGGGAGGCAGAGGCAGGCGGATCTCTGTGAGTTCGAGGCCAGCCTGATCTATAAGAGCCGGTTCCAGGACAGGCTCCAAAGCTAGAGATACCCTATCTTGAAAGAAAAAAAAAACAGCAGAATAAACAAAGATTGAAGGGTTGAAGGGTAAAAGGTCTTTAACTTAAAGTTAAACAAGCACTAAACTTCCCTTTTAAAACACTGAACAAAAGTGCAAATGCCAGTCTTCTTATGCAACGCCTCTTCTGACGGGGCCAGGTTCAGACAGACACAGAATGCACACCTACAAGGGTCTCCTAAATGTGGCCAAAACAATGGGGCAGACCTCTTCACCCCCAGCACCCGGACGGCATACCTCTGAAAGAAAGCACTGTCCGCAGCAGTGAGAAGGCCCTTCATGTATCCGCCCTTAAAGTGGTTGATTCTGCTGCTGCAAGGGAGCTTCTTTGGTTTGAAGCAGAACCAGGGCTCCCCGGTGTAGAGGTCTGTAAAGTTGCACAGGGGAAGACTTCCCGGGAGGCACACATTGCACTTCATCGTTTCCGAAATCCTTCCTGAGCGGAAGAGACTCTTGAAATAGACCCTGTCTGGTTTCGCTTCCTGCAGGTACTGAAGAACTCTGATCCCTTCACTGGGGTGAACCAAAGATATGGACACTCTAACTCTGCCAGGCCAGAGCAGCGTAAAAAACACTTTGTAGAATCCATTCTGGTAGTCTACCACTCTGCCCATGGCCCCTGCCTGCAGCTTGGGCGAGTGAATTCTGGCCTGCAGGTAGTCTCCGCCATACTTCTTGGGCTTCCCTTCAAAATCGTGCACGTGAACCAGCACCTCGAGCTGGCTCCCCACCTTGAAGACAGCTGCAGAATTCAAGATGACAAAATAGCTGGAGGAAGGGTCGGTGCTCTTCACAAAAGGGACCAAGTCCACGTCAGGCACCTGCCACTGTGAGGCAGCAAGCAATGCATCCTCTTCTAAGCGTTCCTGACTGGACAGGGCCTGGTGCTCATAACCACAGTACGGATTCCGGCTAATGCCCGTAGCCTGCGGGGAAACAAACTGTCCACTGCTGTCGATGAATGTCCCTGAGAGAGTCTCATGGTCCAAGTACTAAGGAGAAAGACAACAAAAACCACACTTATCTGAATATCAGGCAAACAAATCTCTCTATCGGTTTAAATTTGTGTAACGTCAACTGAGATTAAACTGTTTCAAAACAGCCTGCAAGTTTCACAATTATTGTAGCAGAATAAGATTCATGGAGAATTCGTAGAGAGGTCTCTGCAGCTTCACAAATCTTACCTCTAGGAGCTGTATGTGGATTCTTACAGTGAATTATCAGAGTACAATTTCCTTGAGCTTCTAGCCATGGAATGGAGAAAGGAACCATCTTTTAAAAGGGAATATTGATGAGGAGTAACCAAGTGCAGTGCCCCGAATAAAAATGGTCACCACAGGCTCAGGGAGTGGCTATTAGGATGCGTGGCCTTGTTGGAGTAGGCATGGCCCTGGTGGAGAAAGTGTGTCACTAGAGTGAGCCAGGCCCAGTGTCACACTCTTCCTGTGGCCCGCTGATCTGATGGAGAGCTCTCAGCTCCTTCTGCAGCACCATGTCTGCCTGCATGACACAATGCTTTCTGCCAGGATGATTACGGACTAGACCTCTGAACCTATCAGTTTATAAAAGCTGCGGTGGTCATGGTGTCTCTTCAAAGCAAAAGAAACCCTAACTAAGACACCAGGTGAGAAGCTTCTTTTCCATACCCGAAACCCAACTGGGAAAAGAAAAACCTCCAACTCCAGCCTGTACCAAGGGTAGGAAACAGCACACACGAAGGAAGTCCACTCACGGGGGTACATGCTCACCAAAGGACTCCAGTGAAACACAGACCACCAGAATGCTCCTCATCCCCCCCGCCCCCCCCCACAAGCTACCATTTTACCACAAGCCCACAAAGCAGCTTCTTTCGCCAAGCTCATCATGTCTAGAATTCAACAACAAACTGCAAGGCAAATTCAATTGTTAAAAATTAAAGAAAAAAAAAACAGAATTTGAAGACAGCAAGCAGGAGCAGCCACGTCAGGTAGAGGAGGAGCGCTGGACTTTTCAGACAGGGAATTTAAGTCAACAGTGGGAAGGAGGGAGCAGCCACGTCAGGTACAGGAGAAGCACTGGACTTATCAGACAGGGAATTTAAGTCAACAGTGAGCGTAGGTAGCTCAGTGGCTCTGTACTTGCTTCACACAGACAAGGCCCTCAGCTCAATGCTCAGCGCCACAAAAGCTTTAAAAAATAATACAAAACAAATTTTACAATTAAGCAACTAAGTCTCAGGCTGCTGCCTCTGATGGCCACTCGGGGACCCACAGACACACATATGGTGGCCCCTCAGGCTGTGGGAGGCTCTGGGGACCCGCAGACACACATGTGGTGGTTCCTTAGGCTGTGGGCGGCTCCAGGGACCCGCAGACACACATGTGGTGGCCCCTCAGGCTGCCGGCAGCTCAGGGGACTCGCAGCAATGGGTAAAGTGTGGCAGCACCTTGGGCTCTGGCCACTACTGTCTGCAGCTGCTGTAACTTCAGATTATAAAAATGATTTGTGGGTCTGCGAGGTCCCTGGCCAGCAAGTGGCCCTGATCCTGTACCAGAAGAGCCACCTGGAGAGGTAAGTGTGTACCCGACCGGCCGGCTGGACGCCCCCAGAAAGGGAGTACAGACATGCTCCAATCCCCTAAACTTTCTGGCCATTCAGCGGGGGCTTCTCTCTCTGGCTAATGCCTTTCTCTTCTTATCCCATCCCAGCTTGCCCCCAGGCACCCCTTCCGATCTTCGGGGTCATAGGATCCCGCAACTCCGCCTGCTGCGGGGCTGAGGGTCTGGGGTCAAAGTGGTGAGTGCAACGGCTGCAGGAGTCTCTTTGTGCCACTGAGCCCGCCCTTTTGTCTGCTAGGTCCCTAGCCAGCAAGTGGCCCTGATCCTGTACCAGAAGATCTGTCCAGAGGACCTACTTCAGGGTGGAGAAGATCTAAGAGACAACTCCAGTGCTGAGGGGACCTAAGAAAGGGCAGACCAAGAAAAACGCCCAAGTACACAGGTAGCCACAGCAAAGATCGGACCAAGCCAACAAGACCCTCCTAACAGCATCTGAAGGAAGAGATGGGCAGGCACCAATGCAAGAATTCCTCCAACAATCTGAAAAACAACATGATAACGCCAGAATCCAGAGAACATACAACAGGAAGACATGAACACCCTAATCCAGAAGACATAGAAGAAACAGACTTTAGACGTAACATTTTGAAAATGTTAGAGACCATTAAACAGGATGTGAAAAACTCCTTTAAAGAAATGGATGAGAAGACTAACAAAAAGTTAGAAGAAATGAATAAATCCCTCAAAGATACCCAAGAAAACCTAGAAAAAGCAATCAAGCAGGTAATGGAAACGGTTCAAGACCTGAAAACTGAAATGGAGGCAATGAAGAAAACACAAACCAAGAGATGGCAGGATATGGAAAATCTGGGTAAATGAACAGAAACTGCAGAGACAAGCATAACCAACAGAATACAAGAGACAGAAGAAAGAATCTCAGATGCTGAAGATACTATAGAGGAAA